TGCAAGTGGAACCGGAAAACTCGCCTGTTAGGCAGGTCCTGTTGCCAATCCCAAATAGCGATCTGGGTCAGCCTCGGGTTCGGAGGCACATTCATGTGAAGTGTCTCCCACGCGGCACACAACGTGGAGCAACATGGTTCAGCACCACCAGGTCACGTGACTCGACCCAAGCCATCACCTTTTTTCTTGTTTCTCCATGTTGAGCGAGTCTCAGAGCAGAGGCAAACAGTTGGGCAGGCAGAGGGCGCAGCGTGTGGGTGATCGATGGTCTAAGAACACGCACGCATGTAGGGTCAGTTTGGTTCGAGGCCTCGAGAGCTTGCCTGGGAGAATGAGCTGCCTGGTTAGTGCCTGGAAAGATGCAACTTTTTTCCTGACGAGGCCTGCCTGTAGTGTGGGTGTTTGGTTCCTGTCCTTACATGCCGCTGCCTGGTGGGTTGTTAATATTGTTTTTAAATAGCAGACCGTACAGTTCTTGATACTCCCTCCGTTCACTTTTGTAAGTCGTTTCAGACAACTCAAAATAGGCTGTTTTGCACATTGTCTGAAATGTCTTCAAAGTCTTATAAAAATGAACAGAGAAAGTATTAAAATACTCCCAGGCTGCTGTTGCTGCATGCCAGGCGCAAGGGACAGGACGCCTGGCTCTGGCTAATCACGGCGCCTGGGCTAATCCTACCTGGGCCAGGCTAATCACACACTTGGCGGAGGGCCAGGCCAGGCAGCCATCTACTTTTTGAGGACGCAAAACAAACAAGTCCCAGGCACATCCCAGGGACCATCCAGGCCAGGCATAAAATGACGTGGACAAGAACCAAACACGTCCGTACTCCCTTCGTCTCAAATATATAATATAAGTAGTGTCAAAAACGCTTTTATATTATGGAACGGAGAAAATACTAAAATAAATTCATCTATTTCCCACTATCACATGTCCTGTAAGGCTGCGACGTCCTGTAGTTTAAGGTTGCTTCATCATCAACCGATATCATTGCCGCTTCCTCCAAGGCCATGCTACTTTCGCCTCCAAAACCCTAGGTCACTTATTTGAGATAGGGCAACTCGGGTGTGGTTTGGCCTAGCCAGGTCGCCCAACTGCGTCCCATCTACTGCGTCGGATGCCGCTCGGAGGAATGTGACACCGATGCGGCATTTGACTCGCAACTCCATGGGACAATGGCAGTTGGCCCCCACCCGACAGAACGATACAAACCTTTTAAAAGGGAAAAGCGGAATTAATTTGCTAAATGGGTAAAAAGGGTCACCAACCTAATCTAGAAGGTAAAGTGGAATTCACTATCAATTAACCTACAATTGCTTATGGTATTTGAGAGAAAAAATTGTACAACTAAAACGCAGAAATGTTCCGGTAAATTGGGAGGGTTTTTTTCTGGTACAAATTAAAAGGCATAAACGTTCCGGTAACTTGGGGGGATGATTCTTGATGAAACTAGATCATGTCATGTGCGCTGCCTAGGGAACCATGTTGAAACAAATGCATAAATAGGTACTTAAAAAACTAAAACTATTAGAAAAACAAATTTAAGAGTGTTCTAAATTTGTATTTTAAAACAATAAAATCTAGAAAGTATGTGACGGAATGATGAATAAAAAGAGAAAAACTATTGAACTGAACTTAACGTGACACCATCTTTTAAACAAAATGCAAAGTATGAATTATAAGTATATATTTGCTCCAAGCCTATACCACCCGCTATCACATAAAAATAAACCCCAAAAAATCAAATCCTAGTCTCTACCACCCTCATTTGACTTTTTTGATAGAAATTAGACCAGCTTGATAGAACATACTTAAAACAATAAAAGGGTAAAATGCGGCACACGTCTCACTAAATGGGGTAAAATGGATTAATATTCCTTAAATGGTGTAATTCCTGTCAAAAATACAAACGAGTACAAAAGAAAGGGTAAAATTCCTTAAATATAACCGACCTAGAAATGTCGAATGGCCCACACTTACATAGAAAAGAGTGGCAAACATCTATAATTTAGGCCGGCGTGTACCTTTGCGGTGCACGTCAGCTTCTCCTTTTCTCAAAACGAATAAATGCATGGCAATACAATGATGCATCAGGAGTAGTAGCATTGCCGTCTCAATCATTGGGAATTTGCGATGGTATATGTTTACATTAAGATTTACTAGTAAGGTGGGAGGCCCTGACCTAGTCGCGGCAAGCACCCGATCAAGGTCGTACCCTGACAGCAAAGGTGTTCTTGGTATAAAAGTATACTATCCATGCGCGTATCGGTGCCCAAATTGGCGTAGAGTAATCGCCACTTGCGTGCTCAATTAATCATGCATACATACCATGCTTTCAGTGCAAATGTCAATGATATCTATATACTGCATACAATCATGCTGATTTGCTGAACAACACGCATTAAACAGAGCAGCAAAAACACAAAGTCGGGTCTTTCACCATCACGGAATTTTCAGTAGAGCCGGCGGCTGCTTCCAGCCATGCTTTTCACCGGCGTCCAAATCAACCGAGGTTTAGACTAATCGCCTGACGATAATGACAGTACGTACGATTGTACTATCAACAACAGTACCAACACAGAGGAGAAGACGCATTGACCAGACCTGCAGTGTCAGTTGGTAATTAACTAACTAAACTAAAGCATGCTGCACTCCTACGTACTCCCTCCGTTCGGAATTACTTGCCTTGAAAATGGATGTACCCTCCGTTCGGAATTACTTGTCTCGAAAATGGATGTATTTAGAAGCTACCTGCTGCCCGTAGCAGGCCCACCCAAGCGTCCTGATCGATCTGTTGGTAGTGGGCTAGCTCTGGGTCTGTCCTCGCGGTGGGTGCGTAGGTGATTGATTGATGGATTGGTGGACTCGACTCTATTGTCGCGTCCCCAACCAGACGGTCCCAACAAGCGAAAAGAAATCCCATCATGGAAGCGGAATAGAAGAGCTCGACGGCGACGCCGCAACCACCGCCACATGCATGATGCCACAAACCACGCAAGCGAGCCAACTTCACAAGTGCCATAGGGAAATAGTGTAGAAGTTTCATTCAGAGACCCACCGGACGCGGAGAGGGGGAGGAAGAGAGAGGGGAGTGGTCTTTAAGACAGATAGATACAGCAGAAATCCCACTGCACCACGAAAGAAGGACTTCTTCCCTTGTTCCTCGCCCAGTCTCCTTGTTCCTCCAAGCCAAGAAACTGCTCTGTCTGTGAGAAAAGCGAGCGGGCGATCGGCCATGGGGAAGATGTGCTGCAGCCAGGAGGAGGAGGAGGCGGGGTTCAACCTGCTGCCGCTGGTGATGGCCGCCTTCGTCATCATGCTGCTGTTCGTCGTCTGCTCGCCGCAGCCCCGGCGCAGGCGCTGCGTCGTCGTCCCGTGCTACTGACGTGGCATCATGGTGGTGGTGCGGTGGTGGGAGCCTCGACCTCGATCGGCGGCGCTCAAGGCAGGCAAGTGGCTGCTACTGTGGTGGTAGGCGTTTGGTTGGTGTCTGGATTTTTCTGACTGATGCGTGTTGGGTTGGGTGGAAGAATAATCTCAATTTCTGCTGAATTCCATCGGACTGTAAAGCTAAAGTCATTCTCTTGTTGCAAGTCTATCTTGTTGTTAATTATACCCGTGTTGATCGATGTGCGTGCCGTTGATTATTCTCCGAGTGCGGGCCTGAATCCACTCACCTTGATTTGGTGCCTGAATTTCTTCTTCCAAATAGTCTTGTGCGTGAGTCCTGAATCTACTCATCTTGATTAAACGATTTAGAGAGTAATCCCTTTGTAAACTAATATAAGAGCGTTTAGATCACTAAAGTAGTTATCTAAATGCTCTTATATTAGTTTACAGAGGGAGTACAAAGGAAAGGAGCACAAGAAGAGGGCTTTTTTCTTGTGTGTTTCTGCAATCTGCATGCACACAAGAGAAAAAAAAAAGTGCTATTCCTCTGAATCCAGCCATGAACTTGTAATTCAGAATACGTGCGCGTTGTCTCTGATCAGTGAACTAGCCCTAGAACGCACGCGCACGCATCTAAACGACGAAACAAACAGAGAGGTTTGTAGCACAAGATCGGGGCGGGCAAATGCATGTGGGGTGGGCATCATCTTCCTTAGCTTGGCCGTTTGGAGCGGGGCTTTTAGGTAGCTGGTAGGAGCTGCTATTCAATCAGTGAGCAGGAGCACGTGGGAGCATGGAGGGGAAGCGTTGGAACCACAGCGTCGACCGACAGGAGACCCTGCGCGGGAGGGTGCGTGGCGTACGTAGGTGAGGTCTGCAGCGTGGGCGCGCACGCAGGGACGACCTTTCAAAACAAAAAACAAAATACAGGGTTGCTCCATCATATGAACATTTGAACAATGGCGAGCTACAGCATGACAATGCATGAGTGCTATGCAGTTTGGGGCTTGTATCAAAAATTATATCCTCTTCTTAATTGATATATGAGGCAAATCTTTTGCCTCCATTTCAAAAACAAAAAAACCTTACCTCAAAGTTATTTAGCATAGTACTCCCTCCGTCTCATAATGTAAGACATTTTTCAACGTCGAAAAACGTCTTACATTATGAGACGGAGGGAGTACTTCTGAAAGATCATTTTTTATGCAAAGTGCCGCTGCACCCAAGAGAGGAGGTTTAAGAACAGATACATAGCATGTAATACTTGGCGGCATATCAATACTATCTCACCACACAAGTGAAACTGTGCTAGTAACATTACTTTACAAGATCTTTTTTCACATCATAAACTGCTATCACCAGCTAGCTTAACAAACATCCAACGAAATGTTGACAACAAGTCCTTTCCAACTAGCCAGCCAGGGTCACACATACATGATCTTCACTAATGATGGAACTATGTACAATGAGTTCGAGATTGGCTGGATGCACAAATTATATAGTGCGCATTACACCATGGAATATAACCAGATACTACAAATATGCTGCACAGGTGCTTCCAACAAAGCCATGCATGCTCTTCCTTCATCACCTGTCGCACATAAGCTTCTCACTGCGGTGGCACTGCATTTTGACCCAGTGTGTTGTAGGTGTAGTCCCCCGAGGAGTTCAGTCCATACTAGAGGGCACAAAGGAGGAAAAAAAATTATTAGTTCACATTGCTCTTTTCAGTTGATGTAGTAATCAAGAAGAAACACAGGGCTGGTGGGATGGGAATAGATTTTCAGTGTTGAACGAAGGGCGCGATTCGTTCATATAATAAAGTCGCCATGATTTTTTTGCTATTTGGCTTGAGGTTACATCGTCATAGCCTTTCATGATATATGAAACGAGTCATACTATAAAATAATAATAATAAGCAAGATAATAAGATTTCGCATAAGGTTAGATTGTCAGACTCATGCAGTAGAGTACAAAACAATTACGGTATAAAAAAAGAAGAAAAAAAACTTATGACAGAGGCTATCAAGCAGATGAGCATCATGACTCATGAGTAACAGCAAATGTTGAGACATAAAAGTCTCCAGCAAAATAAGCCTGACGAATTGAAGCCAAATAGAAAAATATGTGCTTCCTTAATGGTTCAAAATATTCTTTCAGTTTGCTAGGGAGAAGAGTGATGTGCAGACATAATCTCAAGTAGAAATACAGGACTCACTATTGGGGCGTGTAACTTTTGCAATCAACGTGCTCCACATTATTGTTGCATCTCTGCTAAAGAAATGTATGCGAACGGTTTCCAGCCAACTAGTCTGTCTTTAGTCTTTACAACTCAACGACACAAAAGGCTTGCGTCTTTGATGTATTGAAAAAGTATAAAGGATAGTACTAACTTGACCCTAAAGCTAACATATGATCCAACCCAGATAATGTGTAATCACTAATCAGCATACAACAATACAACTTTAACACCTTTTTCTTCAGATTGCTTGCTTGGTTATAGCCTTGTAGGAGTAAACAAAACGAACTAGTACTCATCTAGAAATGCTTCAACTACGGTGTGTGCTACAATCAGGTTGTGTTCTAAATCCTCCGCTGGACTACACATATAGTAGTAGAGTACAAGATAATTATGGTATCAAGCAGCTGAGGGCCATGACTCATGAAAGTAAGAGCAAATATAAAAGTTTCCAGCAAAATAATCTTGTCAAATTGAAACTAAAAGGAAAAAATATGTGCTTTTTTCAATGTAGCAAAATATGTGCTTGATTAACGATTCAAAACATTCTTCAGTTTGCTAGGATGAACAGTGTTGCACAGTATAGCAAACATATTGTCGTTAACGATAGTGCACTCTTGCTTAGGTTGCATAGTCCCATCTGAAATCAGTGCAAGCAAGCGTTGGAGGATAAGCAATTCTCACCTTCTGCCTCATTGATGAGCTCCATAAGTTCGGATGACCACCCCTGGGGTCGGCGGTGGTAGGGAGATAGGATGGAGCTCCTCGGGCAATAAGCAGCGGCCTCCTTATGACCACAAAATCTTCATCACTGTCATAGTCACCACTCGTGGGTGAAACCATGGCTCGTAGAACCATCGCCAAGAAAAGCGAGAGTGCCTGTACATGTAAACAGATCAGATCATCCTCCTCGAGGTGGAAAGGAAAACAGAGTAGGTTTGTTTATCTTATTAGTTATTACTAGTGGAAATTACTGTGGAAGAGCCTTATTGGAGCATGCAACTTAAAGGCATGTGTATACTTGGCGTGCCGTTTGAACTGATGAAAATGCTTGTTCATATCAATCTGACGCACCTGAGTGGCAACGGTAGCGAGAGCAGCCCATTTGCAGAGGTCGAGGTTGGCATTGACAAAGGAGACGAGGTTCTCAAGCTCTCCGGTGCGGTCATGCGGCAGATCCTGCAAGAAGAAGAGGAATCGATCAGTGCTCTGGTTTTATCAACTGAACTGAACTTATTGCTGTCAGGGGAATGAATGTGCATCCAATGAACCCACCTGGATCCAGTGCTCGTTGAGGAGGATGCGTCCGGCCACGGCGGCCTCGAGCAGCATCATCACCATTGCCAAGCCGGTGTACTGGAATAATCAGTTGTTATCATCAGAAACAAATGATTAATTAGTACGGATACACCAATCACTAGGAATGAATATGAATATGCTTATTCACAAGCAAGCACGAGGGGGAATGAATGGATGGATGAGTATGAGTTGTGGTGGATCTTACGAAGCAGAGGCAGCACCCGCTGCTGACCTCGGCGGCGACGTAGCCCGCGAGGAGGATGGCGCAGTAGAGGAGGCCGGCGGCCATGACGGCGCACGCGAACCTGCGGGCCAAAAAGTTGGATCAGGATTACATACCGGCGGGAAGGGAAGTGGAGGGCGGGAGGGAGATAGAGGAGATAGAAGTACATACCATAGGTCTGGGAGGAGGTGGTGGATGTGGAGCTCATGGTGGCGCGCCCACCGGGAGAGGATGGAGGCGGCGTAGAGGACGGCGGAGAGGGCGGCGAAGGCCTGCAGGAAGGCGAGGAGCTTGAGCAGGAACCCCAGGCAGCACCGCCCGCACCCGCCGCCGCTCTTCTCGGAGCGGCCGCCGCGCGCCATCGCCGGTGGGTTCGGGGATTTGGATTTGAGTTTGGGTTGAGGGGAGAAGAGGAAGAGGAAGAGGAAGCAAAGCTCCGCTGGATTTGGGAGAGGATGGATGGATGATTGAGGAGGAGGCCAGCTGGAAGTACATCTCTGAGACGTGGGCCACGCGTGTTAGTTAGTTTTTTTTTTTTTTGAAGGGGCGTGTTAGTTACTCCCTCCGTAAACTAATATAAGAGCGTTTAGATCACTACTTTAGTAATCTAAACGCTCTTATATTAGTTTACAGAGGGAGTAGTTTGCAGCTACCCATGTTCTGTGTTTTGTGTTTTCTGTTACGAGCAACGCCAACTCCTGCGTGAATCCGTGTCATGTCACCCGTTTGGCATACTGGCACTCTGCGTGTCGCGTGTTACGCTTACCAATAGACATCTAGAAATTTCGCCCATTTGCCCCTCGTGTTTTAATGGGCCAGAAGATACAAAACACATGGTGTTTCTTTCTCGGAAAGCAAAGGGGGGTTGCAATAAGTTGGGAATGGACCGAGGGATTAACAAAGCTTGTGTTATTGACCGTGCGGGAGAGGCGATCCTTGAATTCTTACTTCTTACGCCAAACCGGGGTCTATCTATATTGGGCCTCAGGAAGCTCGTGAATCGATTGCTATTACCGCTTGGGACTTATGGTGGGATAGACGTAGATTGATTCATACAAAAAAGTTTCAAGATGCGTTCCGCATTTTTATGGGGATTCATGCTATAACGGCAAATGTTGTTAATGCTTGCTCCCGCAATGCAACTAGTAAAAGAGAAGGATGGATTAGACCTCCTATGAGTTTTGTAAAGCTCGATGTTAATGCATCTTTTGATCATGTGCTTAGGGACACAGCTAACGTTGTATTCAGAGATGATAAAGAAAAATTCATTGTTGGCAGAAATTGAAAGATTGATTGGTGTGTTGACGTCCTAATGATAGAAACTTTGGCTATGAGACTCGGCTTATTTCTTGCACAAAAGGCAGGATGCAATCGCCCTGTTATTAATTCTAAAAATATGGAAGACATAATACCATGAAGAATAAAGGACGTTCGACCGGAGCGACGGCGGCATTTTTTTTTTGTGATTGCTATTTATTCGCCTGTGATTTTCTTCTTACTGGTTTGAACATTGTAACGGGAAAACGAATAAGATAGGTCATGAACTTGGTAGGTTAAATTTCCAGCGACTAAGGTTTGGTTTGAGGAGCGTATGGACGAAATTGTACATATTCTTATATTCCTAATCAATAAAGTT